AGTCCAATGGAATATTACCTTCAGCATTAGAGGAACTTGACGTTGATGCTTCACAGAAGGTGACACTTTCTGCTGTCTCATGCAGAGGGTCCGGCAATGAGGCTGCATCAGGTATGCAAGTTTCATGAGCCTTTGCAGAAGCTTGATGACGCATCACAGTGCGCTTTGGAATTGGCACTGTCGAATCAAATTCATATCTCCCATACACTCTCTTTAATGGACCTACAAACAAATTGTAGATGTTAGGATACATTAGGTCTTCAAGGGTACATGTAATCTGTATATATGTTATGTGACATACAATTAATCAGATGGAAAATGTTAATGTTCACCTACTGTGACTTAAAATCTACTATTTACTGTCACAGAGTTTTTGGCCACATTCTCAAGATTGAAAATCATGTTGGTAACAGATAGAGAAACTGTGTGTTTTCAGTGTAGGGCTAGGCTGCCTGTAGATTCATCAAAGCTACATTGGATTTGGATGTAGACGTGCATGCAAAACAATAAACACATCCGAGTATGATTAAATGTATTGTAATGATCAAGTCAGTTTCAATGCCCAGTTCTCTTAAGTGGGCTCCTACAGTAAGAATGGTAAACCTCATCTTTCTCAGAAACTCTTTGGAGGTAAACTAAAACCAGAGGGCACATCTGATACCTACTAACTTACTTTTCTTATGAACACAATTCAAATGTGTCAGAATGCGTTGCCTTCTTGATAGTGTCTTGCCACATATTTTGCAGGTGTACATTTCTCTGCCATTTATGGAAGTCACTGTGAAACAGTCTTCTTTGTGGGAAATCTCTGAAAAACATATATGAAATAAACAATAATTGAGACAACATTTTCTTAAAAATCATTTTTTTTTAAGTTTAATTATTTTTGTACATACTGTTGCAAGTTCTTTAAATCGTATTGTTAAATTATGGCAGACTTCATTTTGGTTGTACCAGCCTATTTTCAATTGCCCCAAAACGCACTCTACAAAACAGCATTACAGTCGTCCCACGCTGTAACAACCTTTACAATGACACGGACTCGTTTTGTGGTAAACAATGGTTCACAGAAATTTCATTATGTTTCCAACAAAGACACATCTTCATCGTTTAAAACATCACATAAAGAAATCGGCATTGATTATCAAGAAAACCTGTTGTTACAACATCTCGCCATAAAAAGTGTTCATTGTATATAAGTTATATTTGTAATCTAGATATTCTGTTATTAATGTCAGTCACATCTTCATTCGATATTGTTTACAATATTATTTTGGCGATTTGGTGTCTGAACGGAGATCGGAAGATGGCACAACGCACAGTTAGTCATCACTGTTTACAACAACCACGATCAGATTATCGCCATGGACGCCTTGGAACGAACATTGGTTGTCATAGAATGGATACTCATTTCATAACTGCCATGTTGGGACTCGGTAAAAGGCATATTTGTTGTAGTTTGACTATTACGTACATGTAAACATATTTAATTTTGCATGACCGCGGGAATCCTGAAAGGACTTGTCAAACTGTTCCATACGTAAAAAGTGTCAGGTAACATGTATATTCCCAAAGTGCCGCCCTATGACCCCGCTTTTTGTAATTAAAATACTATTTCGTCCCATAATTCCACAAAATCACTTAGTCACTTTATTGGGTATTCATCTTCATCACCGGTAGAAAAAACACGTGGGGAATGACTTCCGCTCGTAGCAACCGAAGTTATTATATGTCCTTTGCATTGCCCCTCAATCCTTTTGATAAATGAATATACAGGCGGGAGTCTTACAGACGTGTGTTCGGCTGATTTCCATATCCGTCTTAGTTTACGCGCCAAACACACATGGTAAACACCAAAACTGGCAGAATGACTGACAAAAATGTTACATTGCACTCACCGTTGTTATCCATCCTTTGCAAGCTCGTGTCCCGGGCAAAGATGTCTGTATTTCTCTTAACAACTCCTCTCTGGTTATTCAACATGTGAAATGTAGCAAAACAAGGCACAAGGTTTTACAGATTTCTTTCTTGCTGCCATCTTCTCCATTGTCCGTAGTCTTCCAACAAAAGAGCGGTGCCGCACGGAATACGATACGGGCATGCACGGTGCCAAGAAGCCTGGTTCTCTGGTTGTGCTGCGCTGGCGCTAAACTGACCAGCCAGTGACGGTTGTACGTACTCATACTTGCTAAAATCAGAGTATATGGTCTCTGCTAAAATATAGATGAAGTTTACAGTTTTGTAACAATAGCGGCTTGACACAAAATATTAACGCTGTTGAGAATGGTTTTGTGTGTCATTGTTCACGTATGTGACGACTTTCGTGTCTTGAAACAGCTCAAAAAATTTAACAATGGACGCATCAACAGTCGGTGTGAAAATTATCACAAAAAAATCTAACAACCGATTAACGTCAACATTTCTCTTTTTAATATATGTATTTTCCGCCGCGTTTGTCTCGTAGAGACCGCTATATTGTGCAGTCATTTCCTGTGTAGCGCCAGCGCAGCATACCCAGGGGACCAGGCTAGCGTCAAGGCCAATTTCGGTTGATGGTGACCAGTGCCTTGTATGGAAGCCCAAAAAGTCCGTCGTCGGTCTAGCTGTGAAAATTTACGTAGCTGTGCACTACTACACTTTAACTATCCGACACCTACTTCGGAGGTAGGTCGTTAATACACAGCTTTTTGGTTGTATACTCTCCAGGGAGCTGAGAATGACAAATCGATTGCACACTGATGTATTGACCGGGGTAATAATGATCGCTATATTAATAAACCAGAAGTTGTTTATCCATAAAGTTGTATGTTTTCTTACTTACTCACCAACTTCTAGAATTGTTGATAGGCATTTCTTAGAAGTTGACGGATGGCCAAGTAGAGAATGCTACTGCTAGAATGTCAATCAAACATTTCCAACAAAGTATGTAAAGTGGAACTGTTAATACACCCAAGACCCCACAATATTTGTTTTTATAACCATACTTACGTGTGTAAGCGACCATTATAGATATCGGACAGTAGATGCGGCGTAGTCCACATCTACGCTTTCGCAGGTGAGGCTGGTTATCAATTTTACGGCTTTGCTCAAAATAGAATGAACATTTCAACCCATTCGCCGGCCTGTAGAATATCTTCTCGCTAAGGAAACAATAACGATAAATGTCCATATTCACATCAAATTCCGTATTGTAGTATATCGGAAGGATTTCGAAGACCTTTTTCTTCCCATCTTTTAAAGTCTTCATGCAGGAAGCATTACAGACATGCAACCGTTGCACTTCGTACATAAAGAACTGTGAATAACGATGCCGTGAATGTTATTGGGCATACGGGCAACTGCATTGGAAAAATTAATTAATCGCCTTATCCTTTGAAAAGTACCACGGTCGTTAGATAATGTCGTATGGACAAGCAACATCCCACGTTTTCAGTGTACGATGACAACATCACTGAGCCTGGCCGCACAATTCATTAAATCGCATCTAACGACCGACAGGATCACCATGACCGTAGCGTAAACCACACAAATTATTGAAGGCTATACTGAATATTATTGAAGGTATTTCGATTATTCAAAATGTTATCTTAAATGTTCAAGAAACTAAAGTGACATTTTGAACTGATTCCAAATAATTTTCAAAATCATTCTTGAACAAACCAAATATGGCACATAACACATGTGATGGTCTTAATGGGCGTCCATACAAATAGTGACACGCAAGAAGCGCGAAACCTAACAAGTTTCATCCGCCATCTTCTTTCGGTACATGTACGTGTATTTCACAAGCTGATCTTCAAAATGAGTACAAAAGTATTTGCTCTGGTTGACTTCGATGACAATACAACGGTTGATGTGCCCTTGAGTTCGATTGTGTTCCCAAGGAAGGAATACCATTTGTACAAGGTTGGAGACACCGTGCGTTCAAAATGTCCTGGCTTCCAAGGCGAGTTTGGAGGGGAGATCGTGGCATTAAGCGGTAAGTCACTTTTCACGTTCACTAATTATTCCTTGTTGAATTATTGCAAAACATAGAAAACATCTTAGGGCCCTTTTTTAAAAAAACAACAACAAACAAAAACTACTTGATGACGTTTTGGTTTCAGCTCGTTTCAATAATATTGCACGAATGTTCATCGCCGCTAAGTTGATGTTGCCTAGTGCTTTCAGTTATCTGTTTCTGTAAGTCATTTGGTAAATATAGAATACTAAACGAGCTCACGTGTAATACCAATTTTATGAAACGAGTGAATAGTTCTGGTATCTGACGAGCGAAAGCGAGTCAGATACCACAACTATTCACGAGTTTCATAAAATTGTTTTCACACGGGAGCGAGTTTAGTATCTTATTTATTACTTGCCATTTATAACGTTTTTAGAATTATACTGTTGAATGTGAATATAGGCTGTCACGTACACGACATAATCCAATCCAGGTTAACAGAATGATACTTCAAACACGTCAAAAGTATGAATTTAATACCAACCAACGGCCCACCTTTACAATTCAGGCGTCCGTTCCACAAAACATTATCGTAGCGCTAAGGTTATGCAACTCTTACTTTAACTCTTACTTTAGACTAAAGACTTTCGTTGCGCTACAATACGGTCGCCTTGTGAAACGGGGCCATGCACCTCAAAGTTTACAATCACGTCACAATACCCCTGATGACGTAATTTGTGGAATTTTGTTGCAAGATCCCTCGGCGAAACGATGCCATGTGACGTCAGCCTAGCAACAAGGTTGCTGGGGTCATCGTGTGTGCATAAGCTCCCCCCAGTGATCTATCATCCCCACACGCAATGTCGTTGAATAAGACAAGGGATGTTGAGAGCTTTCAATATTTGTTCGTGAAACGTGTTCCGAGTACAGAAGCACGCGTTTTGGTATAACACAATGTGTAATACAGCTGTATATTTATTAAATGGGTGATCTCTTCACGGGCAAGTAATAAACTTGATAATCGAATGACACTGAGCTCACAAGGGAGCAATTGATGCGGTATAATTAACTTTGAATGATCACGTGATGCTTGAAGTAACTCTCCTTTCACTGACTTACATCCGGGTAACCTGGGTCGAAGGTTAGGCGTCCAAGATGGCGGACTCGATTGTTTTGCTTTTGAAATTATATAAATTCAAATCAATGTGGTTTCAGGTGCCATCAGTCAAATTGTAGGAGCTTTATAAAACAATAACGGAATATAACAATAATTATCCGCAAGTTTCCCGTGATTGACATCACCGCGTTTAATTGGTACGGAATTATGAAAATCTCCAAATGTAAATAAATTGGAATAGCCCTAACATGATATCGCATGTAAGCCGTACAACACAACGGGATCGATCATTGGGATGGGCAAGAGGGTGTTTGTGTGTCCTATGCAGACCAATGGATTGGTCGCAGATGATTTTATTTTCGTGTCGATGTGCGAATTTAATTTAATTATGCTATTTAATTTTGAGGGGGGATACGGGCGGAAGTTACCTGAATTACACAACTCTTATAATATTCTCAGTAGATCTAAAAGCAGACACTTCCGATACAAGAAATACTACAGTAAATATGTTCTATACAAGCTGACATGATCCTGTTACATTTGGGTTCCCATGAGGGGTTTCATTGGAACATTGTATATGCTGAGCATTTATTTTATAGTTATGGTTGTTTATATGTGGCATTTATCCTATACATTCAGATGACCGAAAATGGCTGAAGAGTGTGTCAAAAATTGGAACAAGACCAATTCCATCAAGAGGTAAAGACAAATCTATGTTTATCTTAAATTCATTTAAAAGTTCAGTTGAATTTAGTTAAATTTTGAATATGAAAACAGTTTCTGTGAAGAACAGTGGAGCCCATAGTTCTGTTGTTTCCCTGACTAGTGCTCAGCATTAGGGGATAAAAAAGGGACTGGTCATAAGTGGGGCCTCCATGTTTTACTATATCAGATTTACAGAGCTTCTTGAATAACAGTATTAGAGTGTCACTATTTCTAATTAAATTTAAATGTCTTTGCTGTTGATAGATGAAGCAACTCCAAAGCAGCAGAGTTCAAAACCTGTCAAACATGCAGAAGGTATGTGTAAACAGTCAAAATTTAATTTTTCCATGCATAGCGAATAATTTTGCGTTTGTTTCCTTAGAGATTGTTTGTGACAGTATGAACATTGTGGCACTTGGTCATGTTTACAACCATTTTCATAGGCCTCATCAAAGTAACATTTGACGGAAATTTGACACTTATGTTTAATTTGAAAACTTTGACTATTTCCTTCTACTTCTCCCATTGTCCATAGGGAAGGCTGCTGTTGCTTCATCGGAGCATAAGGGAGGCACCCAAATGAAACCAACAGGTAGGTACTTCCACACATCATGATGATCATAGATAATTCCTTGTAATACAATACAACTCATTACGCTGTAACTGTGCTGACAAAAAGTAAACTTGTTATTTTTCAATAATAATGTACAACCTGTTACTTTTGACTTTCCTCCTATATTCCGCTGTGATGTAATTGAAATAATGTATTATGTACTCATTCTCTCTTTACTACTCATTAAGCAATGCAGAAGAGACCTGCAGAGGCAGTACAGAATGAAATGGCAGTCAAGGCATTGAAGAAGTTTAGATTAATGAAGTAAGTGACATCAATTACCGCTCTTTATGAAACTAGTGTTTTGCTTACTGCAAAATGCCATGAACAAAAAAAAGGGTAAAAACACTGACAATGTTCTTTGATAATTCTTTTGTGTGAAAATATGTCTGAGTGTACAGTTAAAAATGTTCATTTTTGTTTTTATTCCATATGATTAAACTAGTTTTCATGCCAAAGGCAAGCAGATTGTTGCAGAAAAGTGCAGTTATAGACATAAATATGCAAAAGAAAATTTTAATTTGTTTATTCAACATGTATGATAATTTCTTCACAAGATTTAACACAGACAAGACAACGACAGAAGAAAACCCAGATGATCATGCCGTCCCAGCTATCCTAACTGAGACAACTAGTCCAGCAGCAGAAGATGCCATGCAATCCATGTAAGTTTCTATCACTGAAATATTTTTCAGCAAAAATTCTAAAGTGCTGCGGTCATGCTTAACTCTTTCAACACCGTAGGCCGGTTATCCGGCCAAGAAGCATCGAGTCCCCAGACACTGTTGGCCAGTTAACTGGCCAAGCCATAGTCACGTCAAAATGATATATATTTTTATGGACCTACCTGTAATATCATTCATTTATTAAATCTATCACATTTCACAATGTCTGAAATACATATTCCATTTCATTTTAACATTTTTTATCGATAAATTAAAAAATTATTCACTATTTCACCGCAATGTTATTGAAAATAAAATTCTCGGACACAAATTTCGACAATGGGTCCACATCGCACATGTCAAAGAGCAAAATAAAGACGTTCTAAACAAATCTTTAAATATATTATGCAAAGTAATAAATAAAATCAACAAAATTATATCTAAAAGTAATCAAACTTACATCTAAGTTATTATTTCGTATTCTTTTCGTGCGATCGCGTGTAATGTAAGTCAAATGACATCTCGGCTTTCGTCACCTTGAATTCTCGGCTCGGACACGATGTTTAATGCAAAAATATATGTGTTAAAAATCTTTGTCACAGCACGTAACCTAGCACGATACATTCACAAAGTTTTATATTTTTAATATATATCGTATATCGTGATTTCCTGCTTTAAATGTTCAGAATAACACGATTTAACAAAAATCTTTCGCCAACTTCTGAAATTTATCAAACACGAGCTTGGTACCACAGCTGTAATTTGATTGGCTGCATTAGGTCATGTGCTCAAAATTGACCAATCACAAAACTTGTAGCAGATTTCGGCAAGAAAGCATCATTAGAAACCAATTTTAATCCAATGAAATCGCTTGTTATAACTAAAAAAAAAAACCAGGCGATGTTACAAGCGTATAGATGAAGGAATAAGCTTTCTAGCGATGTATCATATGCCATTCTTCGACGAATGTGTTATTCATACGAAGCCTCGAAAACGGCAGTATTTCTTCATGTTGCTGAGCGGACAGCCGCTGTTATCGGGAAATGGGTGATGAGTGATGACAGAAACTTTTTATAAATTCTTTTTAAAATGATTTTCCAATTACGTAAACAATGAAAATAAAACAGAAATAGGTAAGTGGATTTTATGAAATCTTAAATTTGCCGAAAATCGTCAAGTTTTTGCTTCCTTGGTCCTTAATCTGGATGTTAACAACGTGTTAGCTTACATTTTTTATTTACAACGAACTTAATTAAGTTGTAAATGCATTATTTTAAATGATGTGAAAAACAACTTTCATATTTATTAACCATAGGATCAGACCTTTCAAATGGTGTATAACATGTAGTAGCAAATATATTTTACAAGCAGATATTTTCTTTGATAAATGTTGGCTTCATCTATCACACAAGAGTCTCTGGGAACTCGGTGTCCCAGCAGTAAACACTTCTGGTTGACTGGTGTTGAAAGAGTTAATCAACAGGTGACATGGTTATTTATGTGTGGTTGTGATGTATTTTGGCTGATTTATGCTGTCTGTTTAACTAAAGAACTAATCCTTGTCATTTGTCAACATGGAAATATGCTTATGCCTCCCAAACTATTTTGATGACCTTATATATAATATATGCAAATGATGAAGTGGAACTAAGTCTTTCTTTCTCTCTCTCTCTCTCTCCCCTCTACATAAGAAGACAAGACTTGGACATGATGCAAGGCCTCTCATCTCCAGGGATGGACCAGCCACAAGACCAGTAAGTTCCTTATATATCTAGCAGGTGATTTCTTATTTGTGAGAAAATTTCCACCGTTACTTTGGAATTTATGCAACTTAATGGTCACACTGAAATATTACCTTGTTGTAAGAGGCAACTAACAGGCTCGCTGACTTGGCTGATGCATGTCATCTATCCCAATTGCATGGATCGATGCTCATGTTTTCAATCACTGGATTGTCTGGTCCAGACTCGCTTATTTACAGACCGCCATCATATAGCTGGAATATTGCTGAGTGGGGCGTTAAACAACAAACAAAACCTGTAATGGACCACACACACTGATTATTAATGTGTCATGTATATTTGATAAGTGTCCAAAATAAATGGTCTTCTCTCTTTCACTGTATGGTCATGAAATACCATGAAGGAGGAGGCAGCTATTATTATTCTTTACCCTTTGCTATGAACTGCAAAGACAGTGGTTTATGTTTTCTTTTGTAGGTTTGTTACTCGTGCAGAGTTCGCTAAGCTCGTTGCAGATGTCAGGGAGCTGCAATTGACGGTTGCAAACATGAAGAAGAAGGCATCCGCCAAAAGACTGAATTTGTCACAAACTACATTGCAGCCCCTGTCATCACCAGCATCTCAACAGCAGCCTGTATCTCAGGAGTCTTCACTTGCATCTACCCTTCATCATGCCCCATCTCTTGAAACATCTCCTTCACCATCACCAATTCTGTATAACGGCCACACCATCGATCATCTCAGGGATTCTATTTCAATGTGTGATAAACTTTTACAAGCTACCAAAATAACATTATTTCAACTTTTTGACCACATCTACATATTAAACCACAGTGTTTCGGGCAAGGCCTCAAATTCTAAAACGGTCGCTAAACCCCCTTTTGATTCCAGGTTGTATGGGGCCCTTCTTTATGTTTTGAAAGCAAAATTCCCGTCAACTTCAGATTCAGATATAACGACTAAAATTCATACAGTTCAAAAGATGTTGAAAAAAAGAAATCTCTAAAGTTCCCAAAGTGATGATGGGTGTGTCCTTCATTAGAAATCATTCCATGTAGCGATTAGAATTGGTCCCCAGCAACATGGTACACTTAGAGGATCAAACTACAAACAAAGAAAATCATTAGTCATTGAAGTAACTGCCATTTATATCTCCTGAAAAGATAAATAAAGAGGAAATTAGATCCGAAATCTTGTTGTCTTGTCATTTTGGATGCAGGATCTGTAATGTCATGATTTTACATTTAAACTGATAATTGTATATGTTGCATGCCAGCTAGTTTTAGACATGATTTCAACATGTTTTATATTCACAGCATTTAGTTAATAAATGCTCAAATGTTTATTATTAGCCCACTTCACATGTGGGCTTCCAAATCATGGAATGCCATGGTTTACTGATGATGGTTGCAGGTCTAACAGTGTCACAGCAGAAATGGCCATGGTGAACCATGGTAGACCATGGTCTACCATGTCCGCGGTAATTGGCACCACAGAATTTGGTAGTAAATGGTCACTGACCATGGTAGACCACGGAATACCATGGTCTCTAGACCATGGTATACCATGTCCGCGGTAATTGGCACCACAGAATTTGGTCATGTAAATGGTGCACCATGGTAGACCATGGTGCACCATGGAACATTTGACCATGGTACACCATGGTTTATTTTGACCATGGTACACCATGGTGTATTTGACCATGGTATACCATGGTACACCATGCTGTGTTTGATCGTGGAAGACCATGGTCAAATATACCATGCTAATCCGTGGTGCCAATTACCGGCGGTGGTAGGCTATGGTGGACCATGGTCTGTGGACCATGGTATACCATGGTAAACCATTGTATACCATGGTATTTCCATTGTCATTTCAGCTGGGCACTAATACAGGTCAAAATATGAAACAAATTCATGCCATATGAAGGAGAGAACAATGTGTACTTGAGAATGTCAGTGCACAACATAAGGATAACAAACGTTAAAGGCTTACATTAATATATAAATATATAAATTTCATCCAATTTTGGAAAAAAGATGAGGCTTGAATGTTTTGTTGGATGACTCATATAGTGAACATCATCAAGTATAGAATAAGGGAACACTTTAGTGATTACTTTCATCTGTAGGTACTTGCGGACTTGACAGAAAGTTGTAAAAGATGACTATGAAATCTGACCTGCATTCTCCGGCTGCCAAAACCTAAACCTGGTTGCATTCATCTTGGCATCCATCGGAAGTGATATGGTGAAGTAACTGAAAGGTAGGAGGTTGAGACCACTGTAATATAGGCATTCAGAATATAATGTCCTCATGGAGACCAGGTCAGAATGTTAGATAAGCTCCCAAGCATCACGAGCCAACCGACAAGGGGATTATCCACTAGACCACAGAGGAGTGAGTGAGTGAGAGTGAGTGAGTGAGTGAGTGAGTGAGTGAGTGAGTGAGTGAGAGTGAGTGAGTGAGAGTGAGTGAGTGAGTGAGTGAGTGAGTGAGTGAGTGAGTGAGTGAGTGAGTGAGTGAGGGTGGGTGGGTGGGTGAGTGAGTGAGTGAGTGAGTGAGTGAGTGAGTGAGTGAGTGAGTGAGTGAGTGACTCAGTCAGTCAGTCAGTCAGTCAGTCAGTCAGTCAGTCAGCAATATTCCAGCTATATCAGTGGGTGAGTGAGTATGGTTTTACACAGCTTTTAGCAATATTCCTGCAATATCTCGGCGGGGGACACCAGAAATGTGCTTCACACATTGTACCCATGTCAGGAATTGAACCCAGGTCTTCGGCGTGATGAGCGAACGCTTTAACTACTACGCTACCCGACTGCCCCTCCAGCTATATCAAGGCGCCACAGCCTGTAATATAACAAGTCCTCACCAAGGACACCAATCACTGATAACATCAGCAACACTCTATGTGGTTAGTGTACAGTCACATAACACAGGCAAGTCAAAGAGCCTGACCACCCAAACCCAGGTATAGTAAGTTTTGGAATGTTTTGTTGGTTTGTTGTAAGTGGCGCACTCAGCTATAAGATGGCAGTCTGTAAATAATCAAGTCTGGACCAGACAATCCAATCATTGACATGATGAGCACTGGTCCACACAATTGGAATAGGATGACATGCATCAACCAAGTCAGTGAGCCTGATCAGCCGATCCCGTTAGTTGCTTCTCATGACAAGCATAGTCACCACTTAAACAAGCATGGGTTGCTGAAGACTATTCTAACCAGGATCTTCACAGGTTTATTGGAACATATTCTGTTACTGAATACCCACAGGGATAGTCAGGAGTGTTTGTGTATCTGTTGTTTATTTTCCCTACGGAGCAACATTTCAGTTGTATGACAGTGGTCTGTAAAAAATCAAATCTGGACCAGACAATACAGTGATTGATATTATGAGCAACAATCCACACCTTCAGGGTACGATAACCTGAAGAAAAAAACTTAATCAAAGTCTGGATAATTATTCCCAACTTGACAAAAACATTTTTTTGCCATTTCAAAAATAATTTTTAAAAAAGGTATCGTAGTTCTGAACAAGGCCAGGAGCATGATAACGAAGACTTCAAATTGGGAAGTTTAAATTTGTAAGAGACCTCATTACCTGACACCAGTTGTATTGCGGTAATGTAGTTCCTTCAGGAGTTTCCAGGTGATGCCACCATTGGTGGAATACTGTAGCAGAACACTGTGTGTCCTTGGCCAATCAAACGACTTGCCTTGGCAGCCATATTGGAAGTAGAATTCTGCAGTGGTGAGCATGGACGTATCAATATCTCTCGTTACAGCCATTCTCAGTTGACCCTGGAAGTAGAAACGTATATTCATATATGGGGGATTTATTGTAAACATTGTCCATAGGATAGACATGAAACATTTGAGGAGGTCATGAGAAATTGGCCAGCCAGTTTACAATTAAAATATTGAAAATTATAACAGGGTGAAAACAAATTTGTTTGGCAAGTTTAAAAAAAATTCAACACCTGAAAATAATCAGTCTCATTTATGTACCAAAACAGTTCCCACTGTGCGTAAAAGGCAAAATAGTGGTAAAAATAATATGAATGGATCGCTGAAAATCGGTGATGACACCAGGTGTTCACAAAAAGATTACCGTATTCGACGTTATAAGCGCCCCGCTATAATAAGCACCAATGGCGATATTTGCTAATATATGGGCTAGTGAACAAACCCAATTAGCACCCCTTCTGACTGATCAATGTACACAAGACTTATTTATTCGCGTATTATACGCACTCGTGTGTTATATGCACCCTTAATTATGGGCAAACAAATTCTGGAAAATTATATCTGTCGTATATATAAACATTTCAGGCTGTCAGCATAAACCACGAAATTTATCTTTAAACTCTGTTCTTTTCACCAAAATAATATTCTAATAAGAGCTCCCTATTTCTAATTTTGAGAGCGCCCTGGGCGCTTGTTACGTTGAATACGGTAAGCACGTCCTGCCCTAAAATATTCAACTGGAGACAGCCTGGTTGCAAAATGAATTTGGACAAGGTCATCTGTTTTCATAACCTGCATACACTCATCCTACACCAACCCGGTGCTGTGCCATCCTTGGAAATTAATTGGCATTCCAAATGTACCAAATGTTATATTTTGGTTAGCACTTCCTTAGTACTATTGGGTAGGGGTGACTATTGGTCTTGAAATCACTATTGCGATAACTATTGATATTGAAAGAAACTATTGCGATAACTATTGATATTGCAAGCAACTATTGCGATAAATATTGATAGTTTTCAGTGGGTCATTTTAGATGGATTTTAGAGTTGAATTAAACCTTGGAACTGAAGTTTCCGTTGAATGTGATAACCATAACAACAAATAAAAAGTAAAATCTGAGATATGACTGATTTGTTTTTTCTTTACCCTAATAATTTAAGAAAAGAAACTTCTACATTACCATGTGTGAATTACTACCACTCATGATCAAAAGAAAAATAATTTGAACAGCATTGCATGTATTTTATTGATATGGTAAATACAATCGAAACTATCGATTCCCAACTGAAATCGATACTATTGATTGGAAACTGATTTAACAATCGATTTATTGTCTTCAAGTGCTTACCAATAGCAATATATCGATATTTTGATTTATCATGGCACCCCTACTATTGGGTGTTGAGTCCCATCCGGGTGGCTGAGTGGGTTAGATCGCTGACTTTATGTGCTGGCGATTTGGTACCTCACTCTGAGAATGTGGGTTGGAATCCCGGATGGAACTCAACCCAATAAGTACGAGAATCTGTACTTTACTAACGAAGTGTTATCCCAAATATAACATTTGTTACATTTGATCACATTCTAAATGTGTTTTCCCAGATAGTGGCCAATGAAAGACATTTTGGATTTGAAAGAGCAACATTACGAATCATTTATATAAATGCATCCCTCATGGTTTATTCTCCCTGCAGGGTTTTATTGTACGAAAGACCACAGCAACAAATTTTTTATTTCTTATATGAAAGGAGCTGCGGAGGCCATTTTGAATATGACAAAATCGATACTTTATATTGTTGAGGTCGGACATGTAGAATATTTGATAGAAATAGCATATTGATATGTTCAGTAAGGGAGAAAATTAATAGGATGTTGGGTTTTTTTATTGTCAGAAACATGTTTCGCATTGTATGCTTACTCCTTCCTCAAGTAAGCATGTACTCTGAAATGTTCATAGACTTGATACATTCAGTCAGGCCTCAAAGTTTGAATTTGTACCATGTACCCATATGTCTACAAGCATTTTTTTTCCAGGTAGCCAGTGGTAAAATTAAGAAGTCAAGCCAATAGTTTAGGTAGCCAAAAGCATTTGAAATTATCTTTTATTGTATATTAGTGGAAACTGTACTTGAGTTTTGTTATTTGTGACTCGAACAATGATGCAGTTTGTGTTACTAGATTATATAGGTATATCCTTGCTTATCCAATAAACTACCAACTAATATAAAATACTAATTACATTAATATTCATGTATTTTGGTTCATTGTTGACTTTTGGAGGAATTATTTGCGAGTATAATTAGTAGCAGACACATTTATTTTTGTGTCTACATATGTGTAGCAATAGAATTTAGTCGCCACAAGATATTTTTCAAGGTAGTCATTGGGCTACCCCTGAATTTTAGACAGTAGACAAATCAAAATTTAGGTCGTATTGCCGACCAGTTTGGTCGCAACTTTGAAGCCTGTCAGTTGTTTGGTAGAAGATTTTTTAGTTCAGTGCTAACGTAGAGATGAAGGATGGACAGACAACGAACCAAAACCAAGGCTATAAGCTTACTTTAATGATGTAAAGATGAGCTAAAAAATAGTTACAACAATAAAACAAAAATATTCAAAATGCGCATATTTTCAAACAATCATATCAAATGCAGTTTTATTTGTTCCCTGACCAGTGGATCAATTTGCATTCCAGTTATCATTCTCAACTCCCTGGGGAGTATACAACCCAAGCTGCCTCGGGGTGCTAGAAGGTTTTTACATCCACCTCACATCTACTTGCTGGGTGAACAGAGGCACATTTGAACTAAGTCACTTGCCAGGGTGACACTGACACTGACACTTGTGTTTCGGGTGTATGCACATATTCATGTTTCTGCCACCTGTTCGACCCCAGAAGATTCCGGGGAGAATAGGTCTTCAGCAACCCATGCTTGCCATAAAAGGCGACTATGCTTGTAGTAAGAGGCGACTAACGGGATCGGGTGGTCAGGCTCGCTGACTTGGTTGATGCCTGTCATCAATCCCAATTGTGTGGATCGATGCTCATGATATCAATCACTGGACTGTCTGGTCCAGACTCGATTTATTTACAGACCACCATCATATAGCTGGAATATTGCTGAGTGCGAACAAAAAACCCCATCTGGTCATCTACCATTTGGTGCAGAAATACCCAGTAGACCGAAACTAAGAGAACGAAAATGAACTTAAAACCCCGCAAAACTTATCAATACCCATTGTGAATTTTTTTTTTTGCGTAAATACTCATTGGCTCAAAACATTATCTGGAGTCCTGATGCAGTCCATTTCTGCCAAGAAATACTACACAAGAAACAACTATCAACTGACGACAAATGGTCAATAAATGATCATAATGACAACAGGTGAGAATAAAGAAAGCATCGTGCGTGAACGTCAGCTGTTGCCCTGGTCCCTATTGTCCATGGTTCCTGAGTTATTCATATCACATCAGTACTCAACAACTTTAACAGGTGCTACTGCATGTATAGGCAACATAGAGTTATTCAGTTACAATGAAAATAATCTATAAGGAAACATGTGTAATTGATTGAGGCATAATTGTATATCGATGTCTGCTTGTAATGAGTGTGCTTATCAATAGTTATTTACCCCAAACAAGATACCTCACAGTCAGAAGGCTGGACACAAGTAGGCGATATAGGCATTTATAGACAGGTAGTCATTAGGCTTGGACACAGACAGTTGATATAGCCTTTATAGACTTTCAGGACATACGGCAATCATAGTCTTTGACAGTGGAGGCAAGGTACGTATTATTTTTGTATTCATTGTGTTTCTGTTTCAAGGAATCTTTCTGACTTGCGTCATAGTCTCATTTGTATTACTAAGTACATGTCAGGACATTTTATTAAGGCAAGTTATTTTGAAAAATAGAACAAAGCTAAATTTCATGAAAGTTTTAGAACTTTAATTTGGAAAATCCTACTTGTGAAAAAACATTTGCTTGCTTGCTTGCTTGCTTGCTTGCTTGCTTGCTTGCTTGTGAGTGAGTGAGTGAGTGAGTGAGTGAGTGAGTGAGTGAGTGAGTGAGTGAGTGGTTTAATGCAGGTCTTAGAATTTTACCACTTTGGTGAAACCCATGAGTTTGGGTATGATGCTGACAAACCAAAAACACCTGGATGGAAACATGACTAGAGGATAGAGTGTCCACTTCGAGTGCAAACATCAGTGGTATGACACCCTGCTGCATCACATTCCACCCAGTGATAGTCTTGGTTTGTCAGAACCAACTCCATAGTCTCGAGGATAGATCGTCCACTCAGGGTGCAAACGTCAGTGGTTTGATACCCTGCTGCAGTATCACGGCAGGGGACACCAGAAATGGGCTTCACACATTGTACCCATGTCTGGAATCAAACCCGGGTCACTAGGCTACCCAACCGCCCCCACCTAATGATAGTCTTGGTTTGTCAGGGCCGCATCATGGATAGAGCTTCTGCTCAGAGAGTGATGGCCGGTGGTTTGATCCCCAGCCAAACGAAAGACATTAAAGACTTGTTTTTACCCTGCCTTGTTCTGGGCATTAAAGGGATAAATGCAAGTCACACTAAATGCAATAATGTTGAATGCAACGTTAAACCCCATTTCACCTCACCTCACCTCACCTCACCTCACCTCACCTTGGTTTGTGAGCATCATGCCACAGTGTCCACAACCTGTGCCATTCCACTAAATTACACAAATACTGTACAAAGCATGGTAAAACTTTCCTCACTCATTCCTTAGCTCACTGTAACACCGACTGCATGTTTTTATCAACAGCTGCGGAACCTGTCTGGCCCGAGGATGATTGTCCTGCGTGTAAAAGCTCTGCAGACCATCGCGGTGCTGTGTCTGATTGGGGCGTTCATCATGGTGATACTGTACTGTGTCAATTCCAGCCACAATCAAAGTGGCCTCCTACGGCACAGAAACTTCAAACCATCAGCCAAATTCCTCAAGGCTTTGAATGTCAGAAAGAAAAATCACGAGAAAAGAAGCAAATTTCTGAATCATGTTAAGGCTGCCATGAACAAGAAAAAGCGAAAAAAGAAACGAATCAAGAATGAAACAAAAGGAGGCGAAGCCAATATGGTCAGAAGAAAAGCGAAAGTACAGCTCAACCATCATGACTTAAAACTACAAACTGAATTAATAAAAGCATTTGCACTAAAGGACAATGATGCCAGGCACCCATTTGCAAATATGCATCAGTTCAATTACACCCTCAGTCCATCTCAGTGCCACAAGAAACCTGTGTTTCTATTGACCATTGTTCACTCGAAGCCACATGATTTTCGGCAAAGGTTGACTTTCCGAAAAACCTTTGGTCAAATCCAATCATCATGGAAGAAGAGAATTGTGTACGTATTTAGCATGGGACTTGTTAGTGATCCCAAACTACAGCAGCTCATTCAGAAAGAGGCTGCGACCTTTAATGACATCATTCAAGGAGGGTTTGATGACCTTGAAGAAAACCTGGCCCTTAAACACATCATGGGACTCCACTGGAAGAAAAAATACTGTCGCCATGCAAAATTTATTCTTAAAATTGATGACGACGTGTTTATCCATCCATTTGGTATCATCAAGAATATCTTAGGCAAATCCAAACGGAAGCATTTCATGAGCTGCAGAGAAGGATCGGGGAAGGCTGTTATTGAAAAAATGAAGAATCGAAAGCTTAGAGCAACATATCCCGTCGATTTTCTCCCGAGCTTCTGTAATGGGTACGCCATTGTGATGTCATCAGACGTTGCTTCAGGGATACTTGCAGCATCAGAAAAAATACGCTACGTCCCACTTGAGGGGTTGTTCATAACTGGCGTGCTGAGACTTGTGTCCGGGATTGGACTCAGTTCTACCGAAGTCATCCATGGAAACTGTCATCCAAGACTCTTCACTGGCAAGGAAATTGTTAAAATCACTGCTCTTCATTTGGCGGGGAAATGTAAGAATAAAATGTCAAAACTGTGGAAAAGGTATCATAAAGTTTTTAAGGGTAAAAGAAAATTGAAAGTTTAAATTAAATGTCTATGTTTAAGTGATGGTTTACAGTAAGTTTTGTTGATTGATTTTGTGCAAATGAAGCCTGTTCTAAATTCACATGGATGTCTGCCATTACCATACCGTAAATAAACTAATGTAATCCCTACTCTTGCGTCCTGACTTTCACAAATACAATATTATATGTACAGGCAAAGTTGTTTTTTTTGCATACAACTGCAGACTTAGCATCAGCACACCTTGCAATGTATTGATTGGAAATGAATGAAAAATAAAAATATTTGTTTGCATTGTATTGTTTAAATGGGTCATCTAGATTGATAGTCAGTCTTGATATGCTGAATTCATGTCCTTGTTCTGCTGAATTCATGCCCTTTATCTGCTGAATTCATGCCCCTCATTTGCTGAATTCATGCCCTTTATCTGCTGAATTCATGCTCCTCATCTGCTGAATTCATGCCCTTCATCTGCTGAATTCATGCCCCTCATCTGCTGAATTCATGCCCTTTATCTGCTGAATTCATGCCCTTTATCTGCTGAATCCATGCCCTTTATCTGCTGAATTCATGCCCTTTATCTGCTGAATTCATGCCCTTCATCTGCTGAATTCATGCCCCTCATCATCTGAATTCATGCCCTTTATCTGCCGAATTCATGCCCTTTATCTTCTGAATTCATGCCCCTTATCTGCTGAATTCATGCCCTTTATCTGCTGAATTCATGCCCTTCATCTGCTGAATTCATGCCCCTCATCATCTGAATTCATGCCCTTTATCTGCTGAATTCATGCCCTTTATCTTCTGAATTCATGCCCCTTATCTGCTGAATTCATGCCCTTTATCTGCTGAATTCATGCCCTTTATCTTCTGAATTCATGCCCCTTATCTGCTGAATTCATGCCCCTCATCTGCTGAATTCATGCCCTTTATCTGCTGAATTCAGGCCCTTTATCTGCTGAATTCATGCCCCTCATCATGCCCCTCATCTGCTGAATTCATGCCCCTCATCTGCTGAATTCAGGCCCTTTATCTGCTGAATTCATGCCCCTCATCTGCTGAATTCATGCCCCTTATCTGCTGAATTCAGACCCTTTATCTGCTGAATTCAGGCCCTTTATCTGCAGAATTCATGCCCTTCATCTGCTGAATTGATCTGCCTAATTCATGCCCCTGATCTGCTGAATTTATGCCCTTGATCTGCTGAATTCAAGACCCTGATCTGCTGAATTCATGCCCCTGATCTGCTGAATTCATGTCCCGAACCAGACTGTCCTCACTGGAGACAAGGAGGGAAGGATTCCAAGTGTCTATCCTTACCTTATGGAATGTCAGTGCATTATCGCTGACGATGTTCCCACAGACATCTGTGTTCTCCCCACCATAGACCTCCCTCCACTTGGACTGATCAACAGTGTCCGTGTTGAAGTCATCACGGAGCATCATGGGTAACGGCTTGGTTGGTACACAGAAGGGTTCAGAGAAGCCAGCATCACACCTGTAACCATACAGGCATTGGGAGTTAGAGAGAGGGATCTTCATTTTCTAAAATATTCTCACCTGTCCGATTCTACATAATTCCCCCTTGCGTAGCAGTATTACATGATCACCATGGTGACTAAGGTACATGAATTTTGACAGAATCTCAAAACTTGATGAGTGATTGAGTATTGTTTACATCAGCTTTTATCACTATTCCAACTATGGGCTCTACTCTATGCATCAAAAGATAAAAGGGAGATTTCATTCTCTATGAAATATCATATTGAAGCAATAATTACTAAACAATGTTTCAAATCACCTTGAAATAGGAGTATTACAGAGCAAGGGTATTATAAGTTGTAGCAGGATCACTCAGGGTAACATGGGGTTTTATTCGTCTAGAAGCTCAGATTTTCCTATGATAAACCATCATTTTCTTCCATCACCTTACCAATTCAAATAAAACAAAAATCTTGTACAATGCACTTTATTTTTTGTTCTTTTATTTTTTCTACCAACCAAATTTTTCACTATCACCTCAGGGCGTTAGCCCAGTGATAAAAATGTCGCTCCTCATGCCATAGACCCAGTTTCCATTCCAAACATGGGTACAATGTGTGAAGCCCATTTCTGGTGTACCCCGCCATGATATTGCTGGAATATTGCTAAAAGTGGCGTAAAACCATACTCACTCACCCACTTTCAACTCGAGCTGCATGTGTACACAGACGCCTGTGTTGTAGGTTTGAATGGAAAACTCCAAGTTCACTTTAAACACAGAGCTTGAGTATATGGCTGTGCTCTAAGGGGGATAGCACACAGGACTGTACTTAATCAGCAGAAAAGGGAACAGTCGAGAGTACAACTTTGCAAGTCCTCACCTCATCCTTAGTTCTCGAAGTGTACCTTTATAACCCATAAGGGGCCAACACTGTCCTCTCCCTATTACAAGGATGCATATACTTACACACAGAGCCCCTTATTGCAGTAGCCATGGCCGGAACACAGCCATGGGCAGCCGCTGCCCAGGTATACGTTGTCCAGCGCCCACACCATGCCCCGCGGGTTGGACGTGTGCTGCAGCCATCGGAACCTGGTCGCTGAGGACCTGCAATACACACAAGTGCATCAATCAATTTAACAATGTCTCATGATGTGGCGAGCAATGTCACAGCAATATTCAAAAATAATAATAAATTAATTATTAGATTTCAATCAAATCTTTTAAACGAGGTGATGCAGCAGGCTTTTTATGTTATATCTATTTCATAAAACAAACTGTACAAGGGATGAATAATTTACTCCAAACATAAATTCAAAATTGTTAGAATCTAATGAAAATTGTGAACTGCAGCCCTTCACATAGACTTGCACAAGTCGATTATTATATTGTATCATAATTCTTAGATTATATAAGAGACAAGATTAAGTAAGACTGGCATCCTTGCGAAATCCAGACTTACTGTCTGCTTTTCTAGACTTGCCTTTATAAAGACAGAATTACCATATTTCCATAGACTTATCATTTAGTATAGACTTGGAGCAAGGCTACCCTTCACACAATGAACTGTACTCACACTGCTCCTGGCGGCAGATACACGGTCACTCTTGTCCAGTTCATGTGTTGGTCAGAGGAATACTCGCTGCTCAGATGGTAGCCGCTACACTCGAAGTTGGGGGGTTTACATTCTGACACCACGGGGTGCCAGGTTTTGCCCATGTTGACAGAGTATTCCAGCATGACGTTGTAGAGCGTCCCGTACAGTGACCCACAGCCCATCGCGATGTCAAACTGAAGGAACGTGGAAGGGGTCGCGTGATAGTCCCACGTTTCAGCAAACCTGAGGCCTGCAAGAGAGTGACATGAGTGATTGGTTAAATAAAGTCATGGAAATTAATATCAGGTACCAATCTTGTTAAAATCAGATCTAAGTTCTCGCTGCTGCTAAACAAACATCTGAGGACATCCCATTACGGGTCATGAAAGCAGCTTTCTCGAGCTTTACGGCACTCGTTTAAACCTGGCAACTTCCATTTCAGACTATGCGTGAAAGATATGTTGACACAGTTCTCGATTAAAATTGTGAAAACTAAACAAACGAACATTCTGGAATGTCTAATATATGGTTGAGATTGCATGGCAGTGCTTCCCACTAACTGTGCAACGCCTCCTCCGTTCAATTGTTTATCCAACGGAAGCGAGAGATAGACAATACTTTTGATGGAATCAGTCGTACGGGGCGTACCTGTCATGGGGAATACCCTGTGTTAACATTTTCGAGGCTGCATGATTAGAAAACACATTCCGACTGTCACTTTTATGATCTGGTAAGTGAAGCTTTGATTGGTGGAATGAAAGATCATTCTGACGTGACCCGTAATGGGATGTCCTTAGATCTTTGTATAGAGATAGCGAGAACTAAGATCTGATTTTAGTGAGATTGTATCAGGTATATCCTGATGAAGTTTTCCTTAGTCCCGTTCCACATAGCAATCTTAGTGCTAAGATGATCATAACTCCCATATGTTAACATTGACTTATGATCGTTGTAGAGCTAAGAACCCTTTAAGTGCCCTGGATCCATATGCAGATAAACCAACAACAAACTGCACTGCATCAATCTACAGAGGCTTGTTCTATAAACCAGTTTCTCAATAACTTTACGCTGAAGACTCACAACGCACAACTCATAATTATGAGAATTAAACCCATAAATGACTGGACTACCCTCTAGCCCCCTGAATCTAACACTACCATTATTTGTGCTGAACTCGAGGGCATTGCCCTTTGAATCTAACGCTACCATTATTTGTGCTGAACTCGAGTGGATAGCCCTTTGAATCTAACGCTACCATTATTTGTTCTGAACTCGAGTGGATAGCCCTTTACATCTAACACTACCATTATTTGAGCTGAACTCGATTGGATAGCCCTTTACATCTAACACTATCATTATTTGTGCTGAACTCGAGTGGATAGCCCTTTGAATCAAAACTACCATTATTTGTGCTGAACTCGAGGGCATTGCCCCATGAATCTAAACTACCATTATTTGTGCTGAACTCGAGTGGAAAGCCCTTTACATATAACCCTACCATTACTTGTGCTGAACTTGAGTGGATAGCCCTTTGAATCTATCGCTACCATTATTTGTGCTGAACTCGGGTGGATAGCCCTTTGAATCTAACGCTACCATTATTTGTTCTGAACTCGAGGGCATTGCCCTTTGAATCTAACGCTACCATTATTTGTGCTGAACTCGAGTGGATAGCCCTTTGAATCTAACGCTACCATTATTTGTTCTGAACTCGAGTGGATAGCCCTTTGGATCTATTGCTACCGTTATTTGTGCTGAACTCGAGAGAATAGCCCTTTGAATCTAACGCTACCATTATTTGTGCTGAACTCGAGGGCATTGCCCTGGGAGTTGCAGGCGATCCTGGGCACGGCGCTGTCAGCGATGAACCAGTTGTGGGGGTCTGGCATCATGGAGCTGAAGTCGTCTTGGAAACCGAATGTGCTGGTGTCGTTGATGCCAATGAGGACGCTGTCCAGAGCCCACTGAGCACGAGGGACACCTGCAGATACAGACAGTAGATTGCAGATACAGACAGTAGATTGCAGATACAGACAGGGGATTGCATATACAGACAGGAGATTGCAGAAACAGACAGGAGATTGCAGATACAGACAGTAGATTGCAGATACAGACAGTAGATTGCAGATACAGACAGGGGATTGCAGATACAGACAGGAGATTGCAGAAACATACAGGGGATTGCAGATACAGACAGTAGACTGCAGATACAGACAGGAGATTGCAGATACAGACAGTAGATTGCAGATACAGACAGTAGATTGCAGATACAGACAGGGGATTGCAGATACAGACAGGAGATTGCAGAAACAGACAGGAGATTGCAGATACAGACAGTAGATTGCAGATACAGACAGTAGATTGCAGATACAGACAGGGGATTGCAGATACAGACAGGAGATTGCAGAAACATACAGGGGATTGCAGATACAGACAGTAGACTGCAGATACAGACAGGGGATTGCAGATACAAACAGTAGATTGCAGATACAGATGGGGGATTGCAGATACAGACAGGAGATTGCAGAAACAGACAGGGGATTGCAGATACAGACAGTAGACTGCAGATACAGACAGGGGATTGCAGATACAGACAGTAGATTGCAGATACAGACAGGGGATTGCAGATACAGACAGGAGATTGCAGAAACAGACAGGGAATTGCAGATACAGACAGTAGACTGCAGATACAGACAGTAGATTGCAGATACAGACAGTAGATTGCAGATACAGACAGGGGATTGCAGATACAGACAGTAGATTGCAGATGCAGACAGTAGATTGCAGATACAGACAGGGGATTGCAGATACAGACAGGGGATTGCAGAAACAGACAGGGGATTGCAGATACAGACAGGAGATTGCAGAAACAGATGGGGGATTGCAGATACAGACAGTAGATTGCAGATACAGACAGGAGATTGCAGATACAGACAGTAGATTGCAGATACAGACAGGAGACTGCAGATACAGACAGGGGATTGCAGATACAGACAGTAGATTGCAGATACAGACAGTAGATTGCAGATACAGACAGGGGTTTGCAGATACAGACAGGAGATTGCACAAACAGACAGGAGATTGCAGATACAGACAGGCGACTGCAGATACAGACAGGAGATTGCAGATACAGACAGTAGATTGCAGATACAGACAGTAGATTGCAGATACAGACAGGAGATTGCAGAAACAGACAGGGGATTGCATATACAGACAGGGGATTGCAGATACAGACAGTAGATTGCAGATACAGACAGGGGATTGCAGATACAGACAGGGGATAGCAGATACAGACAGGAGATTGCAGAAACAGACAGGAGATTGCAGATACAGACAGTAGACTGCAGATACAGACAGTAGATTGCAGATACAGACAGGGGATTGCAGATACAGACAGGAGATTGCAGAAACATACAGGGGATTGCAGATACAGACAGTAGACTGCAGATACAGACAGGGGATTGCAGATACAAACAGTAGATTGCAGATACAGACGGGGGATTGCAGATACAGACAGGAGATTGCAGAAACAGACAGGGGATTGCAGATACAGACAGTAGACTGCAGATACAGACAGGGGATTGCAGATACAGACAGTAGATTGCAGATACAGACAGGGGATTGCAGATACAGACAGGAGATTGCAGAAACAGACAGGGGATTGCAGATACAGACAGGAGATTGCAGAAACAGATGGGGGATTGCAGATACAGACAGTAGATTGCAGATACAGACAGGAGATTGCAGATACAGACAGGAGACTGCAGATACAGACAGGGGATTGCAGATACAGACAGTAGATTGCAGATACAGACAGTAGATTGCAGATACAGACAGGGGTTTGCAGATACAGACAGGAGATTGCACAAACAGACAGGAGATTGCAGATACAGACAGGCGACTGCAGATACAGACAGGAGATTGCAGATACAGACAGTAGATTGCAGATACAGACAGTAGATTGCAGATACAGACAGGAGATTGCAGAAACAGACAGGGGATTGCATATACAGACAGGGGATTGCAGATACAGACAGTAGATTGCAGATACAGACAGGGGATTGCAGATACAGACAGGGGATAGCAGATACAGACAGGAGATTGCAGAAACAGACAGGAGATTGCAGATACAGACAGTAGACTGCAGATACAGACAGTAGATTGCAGATACAGACAGGGGATTGCAGATACAGACAGGAGATTGCAGAAACATACAGGGGATTGCAGATACAGACAGTAGACTGCAGATACAGACAGGGGATTGCAGATACAAACAGTAGATTGCAGATACAGACGGGGGATTGCAGATACAGACAGGAGATTGCAGAAACAGACAGGGGATTGCAGATACAGACAGTAGACTGCAGATACAGACAGGGGATTGCAGATACAGACAGTAGATTGCAGATACAGACAGGGGATTGCAGATACAGACAGGAGATTGCAGAAACAGACAGGGGATTGCAGATACAGACAGGAGATTGCAGAAACAGACAGGGGATTGCAGATACAGACAGGAGATTGCAGAAACAGACAGGGGATTGCATATACAGACAGGAGATTGCAGAAACAGATGGGGGATTGCAGATACAGACAGTAGATTGCAGATACAGACAGGAGATTGCAGAAACAGACAGGGGATTGCAGATACAGACAGTAGACTGCAGATACAGACAGTAGATTGCAGATACAGGCAGGAGATTGCAGATACAGACAGGGGATTGCATATACAGACAGGAGATTGCAGATACAGACAGGAGATTGCAGAAACAGACAGGGGATTGCAGATACAGACAGGAGATTGCAGAAACAGATGGGGGATTGCAGATACAGACAGGGGATTGCAGATACAGACAGGAGATTGCAGATACAGACAGTAGATTGCAGATACAGACAGGAGACTGCAGATACAGACAGGGGATTGCAGATACAGACAGTAGATTGCAGATACAGACAGTAGATTGCAGATACAGACAGGGGTTTGCAGATACAGACAGGAGATTGCAGAAACAGACAGGGGATTGCAGATACAGACAGTAGACTGCAGATACAGACAGGGGATTGCAGATACAGACAGTAGATTGCAGATACAGACAGGAGATTGCAGAAACAGACAGGGGATTGCATATACAGACAGGAGATTGCAGATACAGACAGGGGATTGCAGATACAGACAGGAGATTGCAGATACAGACAGGAGACTGCAGATACAGACAGGAGATTGCAGATACAGACAGTAGATTGCAGATACAGACAGGGGATTACAGATACAGACAGTAGATTGCAGATACAGACAGTAGATTGCAGATACAGACAGGGGATTGCAGATACAGACAGGAGATTGCAGAAACAGACAGGGGATTGCAGAAACAGACAGTAGATTGCGGATACAGACAGGAGACTGCAGATACAGACAGGGGATTGCAGGTACAGACAGGGGATTGCATATACAGACAGGGGATTGCAGATACAGACAGGAGATTGCAGATACAGACAGGGGATTGCAGATACAGACAGGAGATTGCAGATACAGACAGGAGATTGCAGATACAGACAGGAGACTACAGATACAGACAGTAGATTGCAGATACAGACAGTAGATTGCAGATACAGACAGGAGATTGCAGAAACAGGCAGGGGATTGCATATACAGACAGGAGATTGCAGATACAGACAGGAGATTGCAGATACAGACAGGGGATTGAAGAAACAGACAGGGGATTGCAGATACAGACAGGAGATTGCAGATACAGACAGGAGACTGCAGATATACAGAGAGTTAATATTCATTTTTCTCTGAAACCTAGTGTCAACCATTTGCTCCTGTATTGTGTCTGTAAGACATACAGTAGGCTACAGTTTGTGAGCATTATTTGTTGTATAGTACCATACTTGGCTGTATTCCAGTTATGATTGATATTATGAGCAATGATTGAAAATTGTGACCAACCCAGATCACTGACATGGGTACAATGTGTGAAGTCTATTTCTGGTGTCCCCTGCCGTGATATTGCTGGAATATTGCTAAAAGCGGCATAACACCATACTCACTCACTGACTCCTTTTAGAGGTAGGAACAAGCTATTCATGGCGTTATAAGCTGATTACATTATGTCATCAGTACAATAGGTTGACTTAAGTGAAATTATTATGTAGGGTTAACACTTTATTTGCTTTTTTGGATAATTTTCCTTCCAAACAATTTATTCTAAATTTCATTCAATATTGTTTAAAGTACATATTTCAGCAAAATTGTGTATGAACTGATTGGCAGATGGCACCAACTCCCCGTTATTTACAGCAACCACAATCAGATTACCACTATTGACACTTTGAAATGAATCTTAGTTGTCTGAAAATGGATACATATACTGATGGAAATGAATAAACTGGGGAACACTTCGTTTTAGACACAGTAAAATGATAAGGTACCATGGGTCCCAAATACACGTTGGACACAATGCACACAAACACATCTCAACATTTGATTCTGACATGTGTTGAATTTGTATGCGCGCTATTTCAAATGTACTGACAGTAAATTTACTTCCCTATATTTTTAATTGTTCCTGTATTCATTTCCATCAATATATATCAGTAATGCCATAATTGAATTTTTGACTCGTAAAAAGTGAAATTTGTAGTTATTTAAATATTATATGTCAACGTATTGACTTAGACCGAGCCACAAACGTCAATCAAACCTGAACGTATGTGAACTTCATCCAATGAAAGTGCTCTATTTCTTATGTGACCTTGACTGAGGGAAGACAAGTTACATCCTCAGACATTCAGCAGTGAATGCAGTCAGCGATGGCTGATGGCAGGTGCCAAGACATACTGTAAATCTTGAAATTAACGCGAGCGTGAATTAAATGCGAAAAATGCGAGTGGTCTTTGCTCGCATTTTAAACATCGCATATATATCAACAATAAGACATTTTGGATAGCAAAAATACCAACTTAGACATACGCTGATGT